TGGAGTAGCATTCGCTTCGCAAGCAGCAGGGCAAAGCGAAGAGTAGCAGCTCTGTTAACTGAGACTATCAGACTGCTTGGCTGTAAGCCTTGTCTCAAGCTTCTTCCTTTTTAACCATGTAAAGCATCAAGTACTTGACCAGTCCAGTAATGCACATCAGTGGCCTTCCAATCGAGATGTAAGCTTTTTCACCTGCTTGCAAACAGCACCAGCGGCTAGCTGCAGCCCTCTGCCGGCACCTGGCCTGAACCCATTCTTCCAGGTGCTGCTTTGCCTTCTTCTCGGGGCTCCAGATATATTGGATCCCGTCGAAGTACGTCTCCTGCCGCTAAGACCGGAACGACTGGCACTACAACATCTGTAATTGCTGTAGTTGTAGTGCCTCTTCGTCTGGAAGGCTGAACTTTTGGAAGTTGGTGTTCCTCATCGCAGCATAGCGAGGCTTTGAGTGATGTTTATGCCGCACCTTTGGCCATCACATGGGAGCTTATCTCCTGCTGTCCAAGCTGCAGAACATACGCAGTCAGATCGCTCACGGGCAATCGTCGGAATGTCAGCTTCTTCCTCAGCTGCTGTGTCGCACTATCAAACATGCTGACGATCATTGAACCACCAAGTCCCAAGCAGCAATCACTTGAAGGGCCCTTGAGAATGGGTGGAATCCCCTACACGGCCAGAAGACTCTGCCGGATTCATCCAACCCGACAGCTGGTTTCACTTTTGCCAGGGGCAGCACTCCTCGGCCGTAAGTTCCGCGAGTGGAACGTCCTCCTGTCACATCAGCTCGAACATTCCCGCCAAAAAAACCGCTGGCCTTTCCGCAAGGCCGCAAGGCCCCGGAAGCCACGCCTCAGGCATTCCTTTCGCTTTGGCTTCCGCCACCTTTGCCTCAAAGATTTGGAGGCAACCCATGTCATGCTCTCACTGGGAGCGGTCTCACTGCCGGGCTCGTGGCCTCTTGTTTAGCCTTGAACATCCTGTCCTGGACGATGCAGCTGTACGCTCTCAGCTATCAGCTCTTGAAAGTGCAAAGGTGACCAGCAGCAATTCGAGGCTGACTGCAACGACCTCTCCCACTGACCTCGGCTCGAAAGCTTCCGTCCTGGCTGAACTCTTTGAAGGCAGCTGGAGGCTCGCCCACGAGAACCGTCGCGATGCGCGTGTAGCCACCCCACCCTTCCAAAGGGCCGGGTTCCGAGCATTTGGCAGCCTACCTCATCTACACATGCTCACCATCAGAGATGAAGAATGAAGTTGGCAAGGATAAGAGATTTCATTGGTATCACTGTTACCATCTTGCCATCATCACTGTTCTCACTTGCAACACGTAGATGTACCCTGCAGCATCAGAGCCATCGTCATCAGCACCATCAGCATCATCACCATCATCGGCATCATCACCAGTTCATGATTATTGATTATTGTCATAATCGACGGGATTCGAGATATGGCTGCCATTATTCTGGCATTCGTCAAACCGAACTGACTCTCACTACATGTCACTACTCTTAACCGATACGACGACGACGACGACTGTTGCTCCCACTGCTGCTCCAAAGCTGTCCAATGAGTCCCTTAGGTTGCGTATCCGTGGCCCAGGCGTAGGGCCAGCTCCCTTCGCTCCTCTTTGAGAAGCGCAGACTTCATCTGGCAGCGACACAGCCGGTGATGAGAGGAGTACTGCTGGATCGAAATCAGATTATGTATGGACTTCCTCACTTAGTTTCTCATGTGCACCTCTCTGCAGACACTTTCCCAGAAACTGCAAGCAGCCCATCATTCTCCCAACGTCTCTCACGGCCGACATTCCCTACTGCAAGCGAGGCATGTTCTCTGTGCGCCGGCCTCCACGACTATGAAGTTCCGAGGTTGAATGGACACAAGTGCCTGACCGAGGGCGTGGCTTCTTACCAACCGATCAGTCGGGAATGTGATGAAGCTCCGTCTCCCGTCTAATCCAAGCACAGCGAGATGTGAAGGTACCACGAGCAGACGCTGGGACACCGAAGTCCGAAGCTGAAGTCGGCGACCCTCATGCTACTGATTCTTCCGCCCTTAATCTTGCTGAGCTTGAACCAAGCTCCACGAGCTAGCCCTTCCATGCCTGCAGGGTTCGGCGCATGCTGCCATCGTCCAGCGCGGAGACGCCGAAGCCCATCTGCCAGCAGCAATGCTTAGAATGACATAGCCGACCCAGCCCCTGGCAACACCGCCTCTGGCTTGTCATTGGACGCTCGCGCTGCAGCCTCAGGCAGAATGTCAATAGAAGAGTGATATGCCTGATATGCTTCGATATATTAAATTATTAGGCCGCTGCGGTTACTTACCGGCCAAGCGGCTGCGTAGCCCTTGGGGCGGCTGAGGCCACTCAGCTCGCACCAGGTCAGCATGGCCCGGTCGCTCAGCTCGGTGTAGCCCCTGCAGGCATGTCAAGTCACAGCTGACCCTGACAGTGTCGGAAATCTGGGCCGCCACACGGGTGGCTTTCCATGAACTGGTCCAGCCAGTCAAAGCCACCTTCGTCCGGCACTGCGACAGGGAAGATCACCTCAAACTGCCAGGATCGAAGAGCTACAGTCAGGATGACGTCCAAGCGATGGCCTCGCACTGCCCATCCGACGGCTTCGTCGTCGCCTTGATGCTCACGTCCTTCTGCGACGCATCCTGTCCAAAGCTATCAAGCGCACATAGATCTGTTGGAGGCAATCGGCATGGAAACCGAACCTTCAGGAAGCGGCACTTGAACGGCATTGGCATCAAAGAAGCCCCAAAGTTGTAGTGCACGGCCATATTCCTGATCGCAATTCGACAGTCACAAACAGCATAGGATACTCATGTGCCAGCTGCTGCAAGTAAATGTGCCTGAAGCTCACGGCCGGATACAGAACCTGCCACGCACAGGGGTCATAGCATGTCATCATAGCATTCCTTTGCCTTCAATGAGATCATTGAAGGTTTGGGGAACAAAGGGGCCTTGCCCTGCAAGTGCTCCGGGATCGGCTGGGGCGGAGCCATGCGCTGGCCGTCCTCGTGGAACGCGGGTCGCGCTGGCGGAGTTTTGGAAGCTTCTGGAGCCGAGCCTTGAAGATGCTCAGCGTGTTTCCAAACTTGCCTGAGCAAGAAAAGCAGTGCCCACACAGTACCCCAGGGTGAGCTCATTGAGGCCAGCACTGTTCGGGTCCAGGTTAGCCACCAGTGTGACCACATCCCCCGTTGTGAACTTCGAGCTGCAGACGGGGCTCGCCTTCCTGGCAGCACTTCATCACCCGCTGAGAGTCCCTTTCTGCGTTCACGGAGGTTGCTCGTCCAGTGCCTGTGTACTTGACTGCTCATGACTTGGCTGCTGTGCATGGCTCTTCGACAACATCGCATTTCATCATCTTCCACGATGAACACTCAACGAAGGCGAAGATCGCCTCCGGTCGCGGAAGAAACCTTCCGAGTCGAAGCAGACCGTATCCTGTCCGAATGCAAGATCCAGGTTGCAAAACACTCTCCTCTTTGGCAGAGTTTCAGGAAGGAACCCTGTTGCCAGCCGGAAATTATTCGCCGATCTGCCCAGCAGAGCTGTCCAGTCCTCCGTTTCACCGAGGACTAGGGAGGACTTTGCGGTGGCCACGCCAATCCGCAGCACACTGCGTGGCCCCATCATCCTGGACAGAGCTGGATTGCGCTGCGTTGCTGGCGCAACCGGATCTGGAATCGAGTGAGTTACGTCCCAAAACTACGAGATTTCGACACGCCCCGGTCCTGGATCGGGCAGTCGGATCTTCGTGGAAGCTGCTCCTTTCGAGGATCTTCACCTGTGTCACACGGGGCTTCCATGAACCTACCATCGACCCTCCCTTGCAGCCCTGGGCTCCGCGGCCTCGAACATGTACCGGCCAGCCTTCAGCCCGATGTTGCATCTCGCCCCTGCTATGAGATACCTCAAGTCCGACAACCACAGCGGTGCTCTGCAACCACCAAAGCCCCAAAGCCCTCCAGTTTATAGCTACATATAGCTCCATCCATATAGATATATATGTATATATATATGTGTGTGTGTATGTATGTATGTATGTATGTATGTATGTATGTATATATATATGTTAGACCCTCGACTCTGAGCGAGGCACTGGAGGCCTCCCTCGGAGAGCGCTGTGAGCATACTCCCGGAGGAGGAGGGAACCACGTTCAGCGTCGTGTCCTCCACATGGAAGGCCGGCGACTCCTGGCAGCGGCCCAGCAGCAAAGTGTAGGATAGCAGCGCAGAGTATTAGAGTATAATATGCAGGATAGGATAGTTGAGTATAGTCGGAACTGCGGACCTTGATCCGGGGAGCCTTGTCCAGAGGCGCATCCAACTCCTCATCCTTGCAAAGAGACAGATTTCTGTAACTTCAGACTTGAAGGTGAGCACATTCCGAGAAGTCCACCTCGGTTTTCGCCTTCTTTGCTGGTGGCTCCTCCATGGCGCTTAAGGCACCTGCCCGTCAGAGGCTCAGCCTGTGCAAGCCAGTGCGACAATGGTTACTTGGGTTCTATGTGGCAGCTACGGGGCGCGATGTAACAATGTAGGCTGGAGACGGTCTGCAACAAGTTCTCGCAAAGTTGATCTGCCAGGATCTGCTCTCCCAATGGCAAAGAAAATCTGCTGCCTGGCTTAGTGTCTGGCTAAGAAACTTCCGCCCATCTAGGCGACTTGCTTAAATCACTGCTAAGCCCACGCTCACAAACGTGCCTTGACATTCAACTGCTGTACGATGGGGATTGCGTGTGAATGAAAAATGGGACAGCACAGAATAACGATGCTACAGGCTACTGGCGCCGGAGGTGCCCAAGCTAGTCAATGATCAGAATCTAGCAGGTGCGACCTGACATGTAAAGGCATCTCGAAACTATGAACATGCATAAGCTGTACAGGATGTGCGAAACGCGAGCCTAAGATAACGCCGGGTGTCACGGAGCATTTTCGTCGGATGCACAGCTATTCTGCAGGTGAGACTTGTTGCGACGAATCACTCGATTCTGGGCGGCGCCGCCCGGAAGTCCACGAGGATCGCCTCCCAGAGATCGCTATCGGCTGTGAAGCCCAAAGCCACAGCTACTTGTACTGTAAGAATATGGTAGGTACAGGGACATCCGAAGACTACAACGACGACGATGCCCACCGCACTTGAGATGACGCCGATGAAAATGGCGATGGATGATGATATGCCACTGTCGTGGCGTCAACCAGACTGAGAGGAACGAACACCGGCAGTCGAATGATACCCCATGCACAAAGGGCAGCATCACTGCGACCGGAGGATCCCCGCTTTCGGAACCGAACAGGCGACCACTGATTCTGAGTGGGCCAAAACACCGTCACTTGAAGCACCTGGCCAGGCACGTACAGCCCAAAGATCGGGTAGATTGATTCCCAGTGCTCCAACGTCTCCGGCAGGAAAGTTGATGTACCTCGAGTCGCATGACAGGAAGCCGGTCTGGGCAACGGTATTCCACAGCTTGCAGCTAGGGTGCCAATGCACGTGCCATTGTGAAACCTCGGTGGGTACAGAAAACCGCCAACTCTTCAAGCCCCTTCTTTCTGCTTTTTCTTCGAATTCCAAACCCACTACTGGCTCTGCAACCGGATTTTGACCAAGCAGCCACTGCAGTGACTTTGAGATCACGTCGTGCCGGACGCCGATCCGCTCACCCTTTCAGGGGCGGTGATTGCCAGCTGCAGATCTAAGTTGGAGTTTGGAAGATCGCACACCTAAGTTGACCTGTCGCAAGAGCAGCGCATGGGCGGCCTCGCCCAGCTGCAGCCCGGGCTGCACGTCATGGTCTCCGAGTGCATCACCGAGCAGGCCGTTGTTGCTGTTGTAGAGCACACAGCACCTAGAAGCAAGCGTGTGACAAAGAGCTCTGAGCTGCAGAAGGTGCTCTTCACCTGCAAATCGACTTCTACGCTTCTGCAAACTTTGCAAGACTTTGCCGAGCGGCTGCAGCCTGATGGAGTGTGTCTCCGGACCCTGAGGGAGGTGGTTGCACAGCCCCACAGCTAACCTCAGTTCACGAGAAGCGGGAACACGGCAAGCAAGTTCACCTCCTGACTCTCGTTGATCTTTGGATCGTACTGCGCTTTTGAAGGCAGAAAGAACAGCGCCCGGTGCCAACTCTGGAAGCTGAGATCGCAGCCCACCGCGCGCATCCGGGTTTGACAGCACTGTGACCTGGCTCAGCTACCAAAGAGTCTACCTCTGCGATTCCAGAGCTCCTTTCTGACATGTGGTGCTAACGAAGCCTCGAAGTAGGAGGCGCTGGAAACCGGCAGAGGGTGCTCCGCGCCGACGACCTGCATGCAATGCAGCTCCGTCAGTTGAGTGGTCCAAATCAACCTCGCCCACAGAATTCGTGGATGTTCGTGGACTGCGTGGACAGCGTGCAGCGCATCTTTTGGGCGCCTGCCAACCAGGATGGGTCGCTCGCACCACCTCCACCGTGGCTGGCTCAGGGCCCTGAGCTTTCGTGTAAGACGGCATCTAAACTCACGGAGGTGCCAGCCCAATCGCTCAAGCAAAGCAGGGCCCAGACGTCTGCCGGTTGATCCGCAGCGGGCCGTGTTGCGATGTGAAGGGACGTTCCATGCAGCGGGTTCATGCCTAGGAGGCTTTCACACCACCAAGGATACAGCCGGGCTAGAGCTGCAAGGACAATCATGGGCCAACAATTCGACACAGAACCCTTCTTGGAGACGATGATGAAGGCGATGTAGAGGATGAGAGCAGCAATACAATAATCGGAATTCCCATATTACACTCATTATGATTATTGTAACGACGATGAGCACGATGAGGGCAGTCTAGCTTTAGCCCGGTATCCATGCCCTGGGGCAGTTGCGATTCGGTTTCAGGAACGGCCACAGCTTCCACGCCTCATCCGAGCAGCGGCTCAGCCCTAATAAGCGCTAAGAGCGGCTCTCAAGGCTGCCTCGGCCAAGAGCTCCATGTTCCGCCGCTGCACGACTGGCACCACTGGCAAGGGCGCATCTGCGCGCAGTCGTCGATTGCGGAGATACTCGACGACAACACTGAAGCACCTCGGCCAGGTTTTGGGGACCCTGGATTTCCAGCAGACATTTCAGGATACACCCAGAAGAATCATTGATGAGGATCAGACTGCGGATTGAAGTCCAAGAAGAAACGACCTTCCTCATCACGCGGGATCTCGTGGATGAAGGTGTCGCTGAACATCTCGGCGAGGACACTGCCAGCTATGCCGCACCTGGGCAAGAGACTGAAAAACACAGGACACTTCAGACACTCGCGGCTCGGCACAGCTCTCTCTGGGCAGCCGGCATGGTCTGTTTCGGGATTGTAAAGATGTGGCCAGAGCAATTGATCTGAATTACCTGTCTCCCAGACATGTCAAGAATGCCAAAACAAGAAACGACTGTGCCTCCGTCTCCGTCCACATCTTTGACATGTCCTGCACAAATAGCTGGCTTCAGTCTGTGGGAAGTTCAACCTTGCATCTTACAGAAGTGAATGATATGAGAGTGCGAAGCAAACAAGAAGTATCCATGAAAAGGGATCTCGCGAGCTTACCATAAACACCGCGAAAGCAGTCTGTTATCTCACGCCTCACTGAGCTTGTTGAGACGCTGCCACTCGGCATCGATCTTCAGCTTCTCCCGGTAGCACCATTCCTCCGTGTCCTGACTGGAAAGCTAGAGGAAGGGCCAACTCCCAGCATGTCGCTCGGCACATCCGCAGGCACCACTGCAATGCAGTCCTGCCGGAGCTTCTCAAGCTCCTCGGTTGTCTGATCGCGTTCCTGCAAGCGGGATCTTGCATCAAAGCTCCAACAGAGCAGGAAGCCCAGTCATGAACCGCAACCACCGGAACCTCGGAAAGGCGCGCCCATGCAGCACGGATTTGCTCCTGACAGGCTTGCTGAGGCTTCGCATCTTGAGAACTTACCCTTATCATAAAGTAGGCTCTCCGTGTCTGTTTGTGTTGTGCACGATGTCATGTAGTGCACCGCAGTGCAATGCAGCCTGGCATCAGTGGAATGCAATGATAATAAATGCACTGCCCAGTGATGTCATATACTGTATGTATGTGTATGTGTATGTATATATGTATATATGTATATACACATACCTGCAGATGTACATAGATGGATGGATGGACAGATAGATCGGATCGACAGGTAGGTAGATAGATAGGTAGACGTATGATTCGTTTGTAGAGGTGTATGTACATATATATATATATATAGAGAGAGAGAGAGAGATATATATATATATATATATGTACGTAGAACCTTTATGCTCTATTTGACGGATGCTGTTTCTTCTAATCAATACTATTGAAAATT